AAAAGATAAACAGACCCACAGGCAAGGACTATTTTAAGCATTCAGATAATCCCACTTTGAGTCAAATGCACTTAAGCCTGGGACTTTTGTCCCTGCCACAGGACCCAGCAGTACTTCCCGGTGTTCTTCCTCCTGAAAAGGCTGATGCCGCCCACCCGTTCCCGAGAAGAGGGATGCCAGGCATCCAACCAGTCACGTGTGCACTCGGCACTGAAAGGACTCAAAAGGGAGGTGCCCTCTAGGAGCTTCCCCTACGCCCCTGGGGGCTCCTTCCCTGGTTTATTCACCTGTTGGATGATAATATCGGTGTGTTCCCATCTCCTCTCCCCATCTGAGACTTTTCTCAGATACAGGGAGCCAGTTAGGGTGGGCAGTGACTGATAGGTTGCCCACAAAGTCAAGCTTACAGGCCCCAACCTTTTTTTCTCATACACCTTTTGGTTTTCCTGGAATTAATAACTTCATTTTTTCCCACTGGCTTGGTTTTCTGTGTACCTGTCACTAATTCACACGCAGACTCTGCCGACATACAACCTTCTCTAAACACATTCACACCCACTGGGCAACTGATCCTTTGCGTGGACTTCCATCCCTCCTGGAGCCCCCTTCTCCTGCTCCCCTGTGGACGGACTGCCCTCGTGCCGGTCATGGTGACTTCCCTTCACCACCTTCCCATGTTTCTCCTGGTCTCCTCACTCCCTGGACCCCATTTTCCCCGCCTCTTGTTTCAGTCTGCTGTTTGACGGTGGGCATCCTCCTGCAGCTTCCTGAAAGGGAACATGGGAGACGAGCGGTTTCAGATTCCTGATTTTCACAGCACATCGATGCAAAAGCTGAATAAAGGAACTCCAGACTGAAAGTCCATTCCCTTCAGAAGGAAAGCACTGCTCCAAGGCCGCCCAGCTTCGGTGACTCCTGGGAAGTCTGACGTCTCCTCTCTGGAGGCTCTTTGGCTCTGGGTTTCTCAAGTTCCGGGATGGTGGGTGTTGGTGTGGGTTTCTGTTATGTTCTTCATGCTAGGCACCTGATAGGTCTCTTGCTCTAGAACCTCCGTGCTGCAGATCTAGGAGAATCCCTTGTGTCATTTCTCATCACCTCCTCCCCTCTCCTCCCCTGCCCACATTCCGTCTCCCCCACTGTGAGCCCATCGTGTGGGCTGTCGGACCTTCGAGGCTTAGCATCTTGTTTTCAACTGAGCTCTACTTCCCGCCTCTTTTGAGTTTCTGAGATCCTTCTCAACTTTATCTTACCACCTTCCCTCCCGCTAACTCTTTCATTGCGATAAGCGGATTTCTTCTATTTCCAACAGCTCTTTTTTATCTTCCGTCCGTCCCCCCTTTACAGCTTCTCGCTGTGTTTTCACGGATGCGACGTCTCCTCTCTGCAAGTCCTTCCAGGCTTTCCTCTGCTCCTCACTTTGTTCCTAGTTCCCCCACTTGTCTCTCTTACATTCCTGTTAGAGTTCTCAGATGTTCAGGGAAGTATTCAGTTGCTGCCTGGAGCCTGTGTTCTGGATGTCGTGCAGGGTGAGGAGGAGCAGGGGAGAGGCTGTCATGGTGTGGGGTTCCAGGAACGGTGAGCGGGCAGGGGCCCGCTGTGTTGCTGGGATACCCCTAGATTTCAGCATCTGGAGGACGTTTCTCGGACAGGTTGGTCTCTGCAGGAAAGCAGCCTCCAGCCTCTGGCCTAGGGGACGGTAAGTCTGGCCGCCAATGTTCAGGAGCCACATGGGGGGACCGCAGTGAGGGGACCCTCACCTTTTTGTGTCCCATTGCCAGCATGGCACCCTGTCCCCGGCTGGGTCTGCGAGCCCAGAGATGCTCTCATGCATCTTATCCTGAGATAAGCCCAGACTTGTGTGGGAAAGGACTTCTACCCCGGCCATGCAAAGTAAGGGAGGGGACCTGGGGAAGCGGCGGCTTCTTGCACACGCTGCCAACCAACCCCCTCGTCTCTGGCACCATCCAAACTTGTGCTCAAGGGTACCTGGGATCGCCACATTTTTAGTTAATTTCGGGTGCGGAGGCATCAATCCTTGGCTCTTGCCATACACAGGCATTCAGGTTCCCCAGGCTGCTCAGTCTGTTACCACGTGTTCATCTGCCTCGAGCACCAGAATACTGTTGACTCTGTGCTGTCATTCCTGCCCTAGCCTCTTTGTACCTGCTGGTTTATTCCTTTTCTATCCCTTGTTGTCACTAGGGAGGAGTTTGGGGAGAGTGCAGATACATGCGTATACTCCATCTATCATCTTTCACTGAAAGCTCTGACCCTCGGCTCTTTAAATGACTTCGGTTGGTCAGGAACAGCATGGTGTAAAAATCAAGGATAGAGAAAAATAAAGCACTAAGGAAGGTTTTTAAAGTTTTATAGTCTCTTGTCCTTAGTTTAATTCTCTTGGAAGGCTCAAATCCCACATCTGTCACTTATGATTGCTCAACCTTTTGTAAGTTACTAGCACCTCTTAAGTTTTATTTTCTTACACCTAAAAGGTGACCCTACCACCTACCTCGCAAGGGCTACAGAATGAGATCATGCAACACAGCTGAGGGACTTCCAAATGCTGGAATGAACAGTGGCTTAGCGTAAGAAGGAAAACACGAATTTGTTTTTGGACGCCACAGAGCAGAGATGTTGGAGGGACACTGACACGGGGATGGGTGTGGGCCCTTAGGGTTGCTTTCATCCAGCAAACATTTCCTGAGCACTTTTGCTACACGAGATCCTAGGTCAGGCACTGAGGAATGAAGACTCGACCAAATACGTGAAGTCCTCCCACCGCAAGGCCAAACGTAGTGACACAGAAAGGCTGGAGCTTGGAGGGGAGAAGAGAAAGCCGTCTGCGCTGCCAAGGGAACAGAGGCGGAGACTCTTTACCTTTCTTTGTCTTACAAGGTCCACACTCAGGGTGAATCTCTTGTAAGGGGAGAGACACCACCTTCGCGAGGCCAGCATTCAGCATGTACTGGTACAGCCGCTTAAACGTCCTTTCGCACAGCCCCTGCCAACACACAATTTAAGAGCTGCCATCAGATACGAGCACGGCGTTTGCGACCACTAAAGTCCTGTGAACGAACACAGGCTCAGGACCTGAGTTAACCGATTATCTTGAGCGACGAAACACTGGAGGGGCTAATGAGGAAAGACTCCAAGCTATGCTGTCAAGGGAACAGAAGAAGGTGTAGATGATTCTATAAATGGATACATAGGGGTGGGAGTGAGGCAGATGGGAGCAGAGCCAGGAGGCTTTTCGCTGTATACTTTTTCAGTGGTTTGGTTTTCTAACCAAGGAAGTGTATCATTAACACACACACACACACACACACACACACACACACACACACACACACACACACACACCTCTCACAGGCAATGGAACAAACAGAAAAAAAGATTCAGGAGAAAGAAAATTGTAGTCTATCAGTGAAGTTTCCACAACATGAGGATGATCACGTGCGCCCCACCGCTCACAGCTCTGCAAGGCAACGTGCCCATAATGACCCTACATGTCCCCATCTGCAGGGGTTACTGATGTGCAGCCTCCAGTGCAGGCCATGCTTTTCCATCTGCATGTTTTTGAAAATAACTGATTTACTTGCCAACATTGGAAAGTGAGAGATCTCATACATATGCAGGTTTGTGTGTATATATATCATATAAACATATATAAACATATATATGTGTGTGTGTGTGTGTATATATATATATATATGTATATATACGAAGCAGGTTCTAGCTTCTCCTAGAAAAAAAATCCAGCAACAAATCCTAGGACTGGGGTTCCTCAGAGCAGCAGTCAGAGGGAGCCACGACAGGCAGGCCCATGCACGGTGGCCCCATCAGCCTCTGGTACATTGGAGTTGAAGGTCACCAGTTATGTGCTGTCTTCTCCTACAGTAGTTACCAGGAGGGTTACATATTTCTTGAATCCATACCGAGAGCAAAAACATTTTTTACACTCGGCCTGTTTCATTTGTTCATAAATCCATCCTGGCTGCGACGAGCATTGACTTGGCCACCCCTGGAGTCATGAGGCCAGTTCCGGCTGCTGTAGGCTGTGGGCTGAATGACAGGAGGCACTTACCACTAAGAGCCTTTAGTGGAGTCTTACGGGTTTCCTCTTACTCTCTGGGGGAGAGAGAGGGAGCGAAATGTCTGCGGGCTGCCGCCACCACATATGTGATCAACTCTCAGAGCAGCCAGTGCCCCAGCCCTCGGGCAGGAGGACATACGGCTATCAAGGAATTACAGATGACTCACATATGGCTCATCCGAAGCCACCGGCTTGTAAATGGGATCTCTTGTTAATCTAGCTGCGCCCTCGGCATCATGGAAAGACCCTACGGAAGCTCATCCATCAAACCCCAGCCCCTAACATAGGGTCCTACGTCCTGGACGATCCCAAGCGCGGGAGAGGATGATGGAGTCCTGCCCTCCGGGGGGTCTGCCATCAGGGTCTCGCACAATCGGCCCAGCAACAAGGGAAAGAGGCAGTGTGAGCCTCCCCCACTCCCCCCAAAGGACAGCATGCCTATTCATGACATCAACCTCACGTGTTGGCTAATTATTCACCAAATCCTGCTCCGCTTCCTCTGACCCTGTTTCCGGCTGCCGATGAGACATCACTAAGTCAAAGTCCCAGAAGACCGTCACACTCGGTAAATCCTAACGTCGAATTTGTCATGCGCCTCGTCCTCGTGCAAACGTGCAAACGTGTTCCTCCTTCTGAACTCCCTACTTTATTCAGAGACTCATTCCACAAATACTTACTGAGCGCCTACCATGGGCCAGGCAGCGTCCGCCTGGTGGGGCTTCAGCAGTGAACAAACAGGCACGGTCGCTGGTCCCCGGTTCCTGCTCTCGGGAGCCTGCCCTCCAGCCCCATCGGCTTCAATGAGGAGCCATTACTCAAGCCGGACAGCAAGACTCCTTCCCTTTCACTCACCTCCATGTCCTGGCCTCAGGCGCTCACTCCGCCCTGCTAGCTCCTCTCCAAAACATCTCCCTTCTAGCGGTCATCACCCCCGGCCAGAGTCAACAGCATCCACCTTGCCACTCACACCTCCAATCTCTCTTCCTCCGCCAGGTTCATTTCCTATAAACACTCTTCCCTCCTCGTAATTTCTCCGTCTCTGAATTGCCACCGGCGGTTTACGAGGCTGAAGGCCACAAACCAGCCCCTCAGCCCGGTGCTCTAGACCTTTCTTAGCGCTCCAGCCACACTGTCGTTCCTCCTGCCTGAGCACACTGCCGCCTGGCAACGGCTTGGTTACTGCGCCTCTAACAACCTGCTGGAGCCACCCTCCCGTGCCCGAGTTGCCATTTCTTGTCTGTCTACTTTGGGAACACTTCTTCACAGCCCAGCTCAGCTGCAACTTGCTCTATAAAGCCTCTCCCAGCTCCCTGAAGCAAGCGCGTCCTTGCAAGGCACCTTCGAGCCTGAGCATGTGTTCGCACGTCTGCCTCTCCAGTGAGACTGCTCCACGACAGTGGGAGACCTGTCATCCTCACTAATTTTTGTCATCGAAGTACAGGACACAGTCCTGACTCAAAGCAGACATCCACTAAAGTATCTGCTGGAGGAATAAGAGAACAGCGCCCTGTGACAGTCCACTCGTATCACTTAGTCCGCAGTGCTGACCTGGGACCCGACCTGCCCGGTCTCCGCACGCCCGAGTGACCCAGTAGGGCGGAGGGTTTCAATCACCGATGTCTGCTGGACAAGAAATATGAGGAACAATGTGGGCAGAGATTTGTTTATTAAATAGGGATTTTCTTCATTTCTACTAGGCTCTCTCAAGAGAAAGACGTATTTTTCTTTCATTTTCCACTCTTCATGGAGACTCAGATACCGAAAAATATTTCTTACCACAAACAGCAGTGCACATGTAATGACAAATGACAAGGGCCTGGTGTCTGAGAGGTGGCAGGAAGGAAGGGGCTGGCAGGGGTGGGTGGAGGGGCGGCTGGCCAGCACACAGCTGGCTCTAGCTGACTGCCATCAGGAGAGACTGCAGGCCCAGGCTTGACGGAACCTCTGATATGTCAAAGGAAGCAGGGAACTTAGATTTGTCTGTGAAATCTCAGTTAAAAAAAAAAAAAATGCCAGGTCAAATGTACTTTTAACAACATATAGGCCAAATCTGACCCCCAGGCCTCAGTTCCTAAGCTCTGCCTCAAAGAGACTTGGGCATGGGGGCCTGTGTGGCTCAGTCAGTTAAGCATCTGACTCCTGATTTCTGCTCAGGTCATGATCTCAGTCGGGAGTAGGAGATCGAGCTCTGTGTCGGGCATGGAACCTGCTTAAGATTCTCTCTCCCTCTGCCCTTCCTTGCTCGTGTGCTCTCTCTAACTCTAAATAAATAAATGAACAAATGAGGGGCTCGGGCGTAGAGGAGATCTAACAAAGAGAAGAGGCCCATTTCCCTCTATGACGGAATCAGAGATGAGGGCTCCACTCACCAATGCAGGAGGTGAGGAGCAAGGATTATTGTTTTTTGTTTTTTTTAATGTTTATTTATTTTGAAGGACAGGGAGGGGCAGAGAGAGGGAGAGAGAATCCCAAGCAGGCTCCAAGCTCAGCATGAAGCCCAACACGGGGCTCGATCCCACGAACCACGAGATTATGACCCGAGCTGAAATCCACAGTTGGATGTTTAACCTACTGAGCCACCCAGGCGCCCCAACCCTGATATTGATGATCAGATTCCAAATCACGGTCCTTTGTGGGCTAATCACTATGACCCAAACAGGCTGACTTTAAACTTCAGGTTGTAAGTTCCGCTGTCTAACCGGCAGGGCAATTTGTTTCTCTCCCCCGTCTAATGCTGGCTCCGCCGAACACTGTTCGAATCAGCCTGGGGGGCCACATGCCCCCTCCGTGCTTTCCTCCTCCCCCCACCTCTACCGCGGGGCCCAGAGACTAGGCCGGTGGGTAAGCACTTCTCTCCCCATGCCGTCACACTATCATTTCAGTATTAAACCAGTGTGATGGAATTAGAAGTGTGCTCACAGAAGCACCCCTAAGTGCCCAGGTCCACCATTCCACACGAACTTATACCGCAGGGCCTCGAGCAAACCCTGGGGAAAATGGGGGCCAGCCTAGGGCAGGAAGGCCTTCGATGAAGGCCTGGGCACTTTTTCCTTCTGTGGAACAAAGGAAGATCCCACTCACTTCAAGGTTAAGGACGGTTAAGTCTGTGAACAGGGCTGATTACAAGCCACCATCAAGGTACACTAAACAAAGATGTCCAGGCTGTGGCACAGTTCAGTCCAGCCCAGAGCACAGGCGGCCCCGGGCACTTACCAGCTCTTCTCTCAGCCTGCCCAGGGTCTCCATCTGGTTACTCCGTGTGCTCAGCACACCCGAGAGCTTCTCCATGAGGATGTCATATTTGCTCCTCCTATGAGAAACACAAAACAGCTTGTCTGGTCAAACCTATTGCTAAAGAGTGCCTCGCAAGCCTTCAGTGACCACATCCCAAACTACAGAACCTTCATCTTCGGTCTCGGCCACCATCCAGCCCACAATGCGCACTTGGTAGGGCAGAGACCGGCTCTGAGTGGCTCGGTCACATGGCCAAGGGCACCTAGGTAGTGGCCGTGTATAAACTAGACCTTTGGGCTGCAGCCGTAAGGATTCTTCAAAATACCTTATGTTTTTATAATAGCATCAAGTTTAGGAAGGACCTTAGGTATTTCTATATAAATCGCTTGGTGAAGGAGGGGATTATTTCATAAAGAAGTGAAACAGGTTTTCTAAACTTCAGACTCAAGACACGAACGTAGGTCCTTGCCCACATCCAGCGCTCTGTTCGCTATATCATGATGCCTCTGATTCTGAAGGCTGGCCTCTACTCTGACTTCACTGGCCTGATCAAGCCCAACCCCCAACTCATTTTTATTGTGTAGAATCATAAATGACTGCCTCCAAGCTAATGGCCACCAAGGAAGCTATGAAAGAGAGTGGAGGGCTCCCAACCATGTGTGCCTGGGGAGGCTGGGGGCAGGGTGTAGCTGGGAAGGTGACCTTGACTTTAACTGGTCACAAGCTCAGGGTCACGGAGGGCTTATGTATGGGATACAGAGTCTGCACCCACTTCTCCACTTCGACTGCCTCTCAACACATGAAAGGATAAAGGAAGGCACAGATATTTACTGCATGTGAATTAATACCAAGCACTGAGTCATGGCCATTTTCTAGGAGAAGAAACCGTGGTTCAGAGAGGACAAGTGCCTTTGCCCAAGTAAGGGGCAAAGATTTAAATACAGATCTTGACTTAGTCCACTGTTAATCTCTTCCACCCACAGCTGCCGCCTACACCAGGTAGGAGTCTAGTGATACTGTATTTAACTAGTGGAAAGTAAGACTAAATAAATAAAATGCGAACTGTCGAAGCATGATTCTCTCTCCAGTAGGATTTCTAAAATACAGGTTTGACGACAAATTTGGAATTTTGACAGGAATACAGTGATGTCATTACTCCTGGAAATCCTTAGTCAACAGTCTGCCTACATGTATATCAAGCACTTTCTTTGGGCCCAGGCCTGTGCTAGGCAGTGGACACTGTCGACTTTAAAACTTATACTTAATCCTGAGTGTTCACTCACCTCCCACTTGGAGAGCATGCCTGGCCACTGGTAATGGGCAAGGTCTCTGTCATTCGGCTAGGGGTGAGTCAAAGTCATTCCCCGTGGTCCAGGGAAAGGAAGGGCCTGCCTACTGCCTCTCAAGGATTCCGTGACATTGCCCGACTCCACTGTGGAGCACTGGTGGCCAGGCGCTCGGGGGCTCCCGCTTACTCACCCGAGGGCCACCTTTTCCAAGGCCTACTCCAGCTCGATCCTTCCCTACCCTGGTCTCTGGATGTCTCACCAAGGAGGCCATGAGGTGCCGGACGGCAGGCTGAGGCCTGTCTCAAGCGTGGTGGAACACTGCTTTCCCCCATTCCTATGCCAGGCAGTCACCCCAACAGGGAGCAGGAAGGAGTCAGAGACTCACTCCCAGAAACCCTCATCCTCAGAAGGGAATGTACACATCTCACCACCTTGCTATACTGGCTGGACCAGGACCCGTGGCTAAATAGCAACGTCATGCACGGTGATCACTCAGCACAACCTCCACATCTCACCGTCTAGGCTGATTATGAGAGTTGCGTGTTGGAAAAACATGCCAATTTTAAATCGGATACAATTCAATCTCAATTCTGTCACCAAAACAAATCTGATTTGACTGATTTGTTTTTATTTTTATACTCCCCCCCCAAATTTCACCAAAATGTTAACAGTCCCTATTGCTGGGCAATGGGGTTACAGGAATTTTTTTTCCTTCTTTTCAGTATAATCTCCAAATTTTCTAAATCAGCATGACTTATTTTCACAATCAAACATGGATAGTAAATCTCTTTTAAAAAGCTATAGTCTAGGGCACCTGGGTAGCTCAGTCAGTTAAGCGTCTGGCTCTTGACTTTGGTTCAGGTCATGATCTGATGGTTCATGAGTTCAGGCCCCGCGTCGGGCTCCTCACTGAGTGTGGAGTCTAAGATTCTCTCTTTCTCTCTCTCTGCCCACCCCCCGTCCCTCTCTCCCATTTGTGCTCATGTTCTCTCTCTCAAAATAAATAAAGTTAAAAAAAAAGAAAAAAAACCTATAGTCACGGACACCTGGGTGGCTCAGTTGGTTGAGCATCCAACCCTTGATTTTGCCTCAGATCATGGTCCCAGGGTTGTGGGATCGAACCCTATATTGGGGTCCACGCTCAGCGTGGAGCTTGCTTAAGGCTCTCTCCCTTGGGGCACCTGGGTGGCTCAGTCGGTCAAGCGTCCCGACTTTGGTTCAGGTCATGATCTGATGGTTCATAGTTCAAGCCCTGCTTCGGGCTCTGTGCTGACAGCTCAGAACCTGGAACCCGCTTCAGATTCCGTGGCTCCCTCTCCCTCTGCCCCTCCCCCACTCGTGCTCTTTCTATGTCTCTCAAAAAAAAATAAATAAATGTTTAAAAAAAAACTTAAAAGATTCTCTCCCTCCCTCTGCCCCTCCCCTGCTTGCGCATGTACGTGTGTGCTCGTCCTGTCTAAAATAAAAGCAAAACATAAATCAATAAAAGTAAAAAGCTACGGTCGTGCTGTGATTTAGCCTCCATGGTTTGTAAAGGCCTAACGCGCAGGGCAGAACGGAGTGCTTTGGCGTGCACATGCTATACCTGTCCACGTGAAACCGATTCAGCAGGAGGAGGATCGAGTGCTGCTGGGCTCCGGTGGGTAATCGGATCACATGTGACTGCATCGTAATGAGCCCGTTTTTGTTCAGAATTTTCCGGTGATAGTGGAGCTTCCCGGCATCAACCCTGGAGGAGAGGAGGGGCGTGGCTCTGTCACTTTTGCTTTGCTGGCTGCTTTCCCCCAACAGCGTAGAGGGCCTCTCACCTGAACGTCAGTGCTAGACACACACTGTAGCACTGGCTAGTCCTACCCAGCCACTCTACGACGACAGTCACTGTGGGACAGCGGCCTTGAAAACAACAGCCATGCCTCAGCCTAAGAGCACAGCCGAGGTCCCTGGCAGAGGCGGACGGGGGATGGGGGTGGAGGCCCAGGGAAATGGGCACGGGACGGACGGTGGGGTGGGCGACGATGAGGGTTAGTGATGACACCATCAAATACAGGTGCCCAATCCTGTAGTGGCCAATAACTAGGGGGACTACACATCCTGATTTGCCTGGCGGTCCCAATTTATGCCCACTGCCTTGGCCTCGCCCTGGGGCCCCACTCTCCACTCTCAAAATGTCTGGTTTAGACACTAAATTATAGGGTCACTCCAGTGTCTCTTCATACACAAAGCCCTGCACTCCCAGTCAGCATAGGTTGCAGACTGCCCCAGTGGCAGGGCTGAGAGGAACGGGGAAGGAGGTAGGTCAACAGGCCCATGCTGGGGGGCAGGGCACAATCATCAGGGAGCCCTCTCAAGCGAATCATCCCCTCACTTGAAAGCAGTGCTGTGGAGGTCACGCTGGAGCTCGCCTTGCCACCGGGACCGGCCCAACCGCTCCAAAATGCAGTAGGAGAAGTCAGGGAGCTTCAGGTCGGGGTCACCCTCCAAGCCTATCAAGGCCCTGTACCGCATGTCCTGGGAGGCGACGATGATCAGTCTCTTTCCCCACCTGCGGATCAGAAACGACGACACAGAAGAAATAACTTTAAGTGATTTGAAGAAAATATGAAAAAACAGGGGGTGCCTGGGTGGCTCAGTCAGTTAAGCATCAGACTCTTGGTTTTGGCTCAGGCCATGATCTCGCGGTTCATGGAATCGAGCCCCACGTCAGGCTCAGTGCAGAGCATGAAGCCTGCTTGGGATTCTTGCTCACCCTGCCCCTCCCCTGCACACTTATTTATAAATAAACTTAAAAAAACAAACAAAACGCTGAACCTTAGAGAATCATCATTTCTTGTGCTGCTTCTTACAGCTTTACAATCCCCCCCATTAAGGCGGTTTCAGTGTCCAAACTGCAGCATTTGGGGTGAACAGCGCCAACCTTGTGTTCTCCTTATGTGGTGCCCTCCGAGGTCTCGTCAGGACACTCAGACCAAAGCCCAAACTCCCCAGCAGGGCCTGATACATCCGATGCACCCTCCATGGCCCTGATGGTCCTCAAATGAGCTGCTTCCTCTGCCCGGGCTCCTCCCCGAATCTGTAGGTGATGGATTCCTTCTGATCATTGGGGCTACTGCTTAGACATGACCTCCTCGGGCCTTCCTGAAAGTCTAGCCCCAGCTATCCCCTACCTGGCCATTGCCATATTCTTCACAGCACCCGGCACTCTTAAAAATGGTCATATTTTGGGGATGCCTCGGGGGGCTCAGTCAGTTGAGCGTCTGACTTTGGCTCAGGTCATGATCTCATGGTTGGTGAGTTCGAGTTCCGCATCAGGCTCTGTGCTGACAGCTTGGAGCCTGGATCCTGCTTCGGGTTCTGTGTCGCCCTCACTCTCTGCCCCTCCCCCAGTCGTGCTCTGTCTCTCTCTCTCTCAAAAGTAAATAAACATAAAAAAAAAATTTTTTTTAAGGTCATTTTTTTTTTTTTTTTTTTTTTTTTTTTGCAGACATTCTTGTCCATCTCCTCCCTTCAAATTTAAGTGTCATAAAGGTAGGCACATGGTACTGACTTGTTCACTAGGACACCTTCAGTGCCTAGTATGATTGTAGTGCATAGTAGGGGCTCTGTGAGTATTTGTTAAGTGAGCAAACTAGCCTACCGAACTGGACAGATAAGCTTCAGAGTCAAAAATACAGGCACGTCTCAGAGATGTTGTGGGTTCAACTCTAGACCATTGCAAGAAAGCAAATAGTGTGATAAAGCAAGTATCACAATAAAGCTAGTCAAATAAAGTTTCTGGTTTCCAGTGCATATAAAAGTATGTTTATACTATACTGTAGTGTAGTGTATTAAGTGTGCAATGACATTACGTCCAAAAAAACCAATGTGTGTACCTTAATTAAAAAATACTATTGCTAAGAAATGCTAACCATCATCTGAGCCTTCACCAAATTGTAATCACCGGTCCCAGATCACCGTAACAAATATAGTAACGAAAAAGTTCAAAATATTGAGAAAACTGGGGCGCCTGTGTGGCTCAGTTGGTTAAGCGTCCAACTCAGCTCAGGTCACGGTCTTTACAATTTGTGAGTTCGAGCCCTGCGCCGGGCTCTGTCCTGACAGCTCAGAGCTTGGAGCCTGTTTCAGATTCTGTGTCTCCCTCTCTCTCTGCCCCTCTCTCACTTGTATTCTGTCTCTCTTTCAAAGATAAACATTAAAAAAAAAATAAAGAAAAGAAAGAAAATATATTGAGAAAATGACCGAAATGTGATACAGAGACACGAAGCGAGCAAATGCTGTTGGGAAAAATGGTGCTTGATGCAAGGTTGCCACGAACCTTCAATTTCTAAAAAATGCAGTATCTGTGAAGCACAGGATGACAAGGTAAGTCTGTACCGAACTGGGTAATCAGCGGATTTATAGTCTGTTGAAGACCAGACCCTGGAAGAATCGTCAGCTCCTCCTAGTGACTTGAGGTGTGAAAATAATAAAGAGGCCAAGAACACGTCCTAGCAAGGCATTTCAGACTGAGTGACGTGATGGGAGACAGGCCTTGTGGTTAGATGTCTAAACAACAGAGCTAAGAAGAATTAGATGCTGGCCCAGATTTGAGGGGTTGGTAGACCATGAGTTCTTATACAGGGACCCTCAGTGATGCATTCATCTGGGAAAGGGAGCGCTTCCGAGCGGGGGTATCTTGGTGCCAAGAAGTGAGTGAGTGAGGGGTTCTCTGCCAGCACACCCTCGTGGGATCTCTGCTCCAAGGCTTGGACCCCAAGAGTATGTGAATGGAGTGGGCCAATCTGCCCAAGATGTCAGCTTAAATTAGCAGATGAGGCCTAGTGGGTGGAGTCTCAGACTTAAGTGATGGAGACTCGGCAGAGAAACAGATTTCTTCTATCACATCCCTCAGACTGATGGTTCTCCTTCCTCCTACCCCACACTGGCTGGTTTCACTTCTACCACCAACTGGGCCAAAGATGAAAGAAGAGGTTGTCTTCCTTTTAACCTTACACTGTGACCTAAAATAAGTCTTCTGTAGAGTCATGGAAGTCGGCAGAATCCATCCTCAGAGAGAATGGTTGCGAACACGCATGAAAGAGACAGTCCACTTCCTGTGTCTGCACATCACAGACTTAGGACCTTTGCTCTCTCGTCCAAAACAGGTTCATTAAGTTAAACTGGAAGAGGTCAGCTGGGAAAAGAAAGCTGGAAAACTGGGGAACAGGTTTGCTGCTTTTCACACAGGCTCAGATTTGTTTACTACGCTGTACTATCATAATCCCGACAGTTCCAATTAGCTGACTAAGGGACTCCTGCTAGGCTTAAAATGCTGAGTGTGGTCACCAGACAGGATGTCAAATACTGATTAAGCACAATGTAAAGTACCAGAGATGCCAAGATAGATAAAAGCGGTATCCACCTTCAAGGAGCTCACAGTCCACTGGAGGAGGAAGTCCAGAAAGTGAGCGATTATGCTATGATCCAACAGCTGTCAGAGAGCACCTAGGAAATGGCATACGTCCAGAGCCCAATTCCATCTAAGCTGTGCGTGTGAACGGAGCACAGTAACTAGGGAACGCTCTCACAGGAGGGGATGTTGAGTGAGCACTAAGCTTGGGGGCGGGGGGCGGGGCGGTGAAGGGCAAGGAAGCAGAACCTGCAAGTTTCTGGGGGCACGAAGCAGTGCGCCTGTCCTGGGGGCAAATGGCCCGGACAAGAAGCCTGGTGTGGGGTCGCAGGCTGGAAAGCAGAAGGAAGGAGAGCCCGAGAGGTCAGTGCGAGTCCACATCCCAAAAGGCCTGGCAGTGCCGTCCAGGGAGTTTGGATGCCATGACACAGGTCAGGGGTTAGAACTTCCAGATCAACAGGAGAGTCAATCAGTCAACATGCACTCTCAGGAGCCGATGTGGTGCCAGGCATACTCTAGATCCTAGAGATACAGCCATGAACAAACAAGAGTTTCTGCCCTCAAGGTTACAGTCTGGTATGGAAAGAGTGACGTAAATAAACACTGAAGACCATTTTTGGTACTGACGTGAGTAATACGATGATGTCTGGGCAACAGGGACATACTTTTTGAGGAACCAAGTCCAAGGCTGAATGAAGAGAAGGGGGTGGGAGATGTGAAGATCTGAAGCAGAATATTTTTAAGTTTATTTATTTGAGAGAGAGAGAGAGAGACAGAGAGAGGAGTGTGCGTGTGCATGAGTCAGGGAGCGGCAGAGAAAGAATCCCAAGCAGGCTCCGCGCTGTCAGCTCAGAGTCCGACGAATAGAGGCTCGATCTCACGAACCGTGAGATCATGACCTGAGCCGAAATCAAGAGTCAGACGTTTAACCAACCGAGCCCCCCAGGAGTCCTGAAGGCAGAAGACTCTAAGCAAAAGGAACAACATGTGTTGCAGCCCTGAGTAACAGATTAGCCCGGCGTGTTCGGGCCAAAGCACAGAGAGGGCTATGGGGGGAGAGCTGGGTGGGCAGAGGGTAGGCATATGGAGCCTGATGGGCCACTCAGCAGGGTGGGCAGCACTAGGTGGGACATGGCTCATGGTTCTGGCCTAAATACCAAGGGAAAATCACAGTCCCAGAGAGAGAGAGCACAAGTCAGGAGGGGCAGAGAGAGAGGGAGACAGAAGATCCAAAGCAGACTCTGCTGACAGCACAGAGCCCGAGGTGGGGCTTGAACTTACAAACCAGGAGATCATGACCTGAGTTGCCGTCAGAGGCTTGACCAACCAAGCCACCCAGGCGCCCCATGGATCCTGTAATTTTTTTAAGAGGAGGTAGAAATCCAGATTTTAAATATTAGCAATGAAATAAAATTGAAAACAAACAAACCACCATGCTGGCTAAACAAAGCATGTCTGTGGGGGACATGCGGCCAGTCTGAGCTATCTGTCCTGAGTGACCAAGGCACTTTCCACCACAAGTCCATCTTAGAGAAAAATGTTCCATGCAGTGTGGAAAGTTCTGAAGAGGAGAGACAGTACGAAGGGAGATAAGAGACTATTGTACTATTTTGAGCCCAAAGGGCGTTTGAGAAAACGTCAGAAGGTCAAGTCCACAGGACTCGGTGGCCAGCTGAACGTAGAAAGAGAGAAGGGGCCCAAGTTTGCATCTTATACGGCAGGCGCGTGGGAATCCTCTGGAGCAGAGGGAAGACACAAAAGGGGCAGGAAATGGAAGAGGAGGCAAGTTTGGGGTGAAGGAGAGTGATGCTCTGACTTCTGGGCGCACTGAGGAAGAGGTTACTGTAACTCCACACACGGCACTTGACAGACGCCTGGGGAGCACTCAGAGCCCTGGGGAGCAGCCCAACATTTAAGGGGTGGAAGGAAGTCAGGGAGTCCATGAGGGAGCTGGTAAGGATCGGCTAGAACAGGAAAATAAAGCAGGAAGCCATGGGACAAAAGCTTTACAAGTCCTTGATGGGGTGGAGGGGGCAAGGAGGTTACGGGCCCTACAGTGTCCACAGGCTCATTACTAGGAATCTTCGGGGATAAGATTTCGGTGAAGTAATGAAGTCAGACATCAGGACCGAGAGGGCAGAGGTGAAGGGGACAAAGAGTGAGAGTGGCTATTTCTTCTGGGAAGCTTGGTCCTACAAGCGGCAGAGAGAAAGAGAGATCTATGGTCACAGGGGGTCTGAGGTCAAGAGAAGGTCCTGTTGTAAGCTGTGTGAGTCACGTTAGGGCTGAGGAGACAGCACCAGCAGAAAGGCAAAAGTTGGAAATGACGGAGAAGGGGCACCTGGGTGGCTTAGTTGGTTAAGCATCCGACTTCAGCTCAAGTCATGACCTCGAGGTTTGTGACTTTGAGCTCCGCATCGGGCTTACTGCTGTCAGCAGTAAGATCCTGTCTCCCTCTCTCTCTGCCCCTCCCTCTCAAAAATAAATAAACATTAAAAAAAAAAAAAAAGAAAGAAAGAAAATGATGGAGAAAGATGAGCTTCCTGAGAGGAGGGAGGAAGACAGATGGGCACAGGAGTCAATGGGGGAAGGCTGGGAAGGATGGGCAGAGGAGGAGGAAACATAGGGCAGGGCTAGACAGACCATGGTTTCTGGTCTGCCTGCCTGCCTGCCTGCCTGCCTGCTGCCTGCCTGCTGCCTCTGAGGCTGGGGGGTGGGGGTGGGGGCAGGAAGAGATGTGTAACAGCTGCAAGTTGAAGATGGAAGTCAGGAGAGTTCACACAGGCTAAACCTCCCTGTTCTGCAATGAGGAGGGAGGAATAACTTAGAAGATGACAGGTGGAATGGACCACTCTGGGAAACCGGGGGTCCGGCCGGAGACTCAGGAAAGGACCGCTGGGCAGCAGGGGGCCCAGTCCCTACGAGAGTGATCCAGGGGACGTCTGGGTGGCTCAGGTGGTTAAGTGGCTGACTTCAGCTCAGGTCCCGATCTCATGGCTTGTGAGTTCGAGCCCCACTCTAAAGCGCAGAGCCCACTTTAGAGCCTGTCTCCTTCCTCCCGACTGGCCACAGCTCTCTCTCAAAAATAAATAACACATTAAAAAAAAAAAAGAGTGATCCAAATGATAGCCTCCTGCCCTGCCCAACCGTGCCAGGACTGTGGATACAAGGGAAAGAGAAAGGCAGGTCCCTGAGCAAAATGAGCCGAGTGAAGAAGGCAGAGGCTTCGTAAAGGGCTGGCGAGACTCAGCGCTCTGACTGTGCACCCGACTTCAAAGTAGGAGGATTCCCATGAGTTTCTGATGGTGCAAATCAGTTACCTGCCAAAGGCCTCCACCATCATACAGCGGGGCTGTAAAGACTTGGTCCTGATGTCATTGGTTATGTTTTTCCTCTCCTTAAAGTACCGGCAAGAGCCCTGGATGCCATCTTTATTCTCTAAAATCATATGAATGGGGTAGACGTCCTCCAAAGCGACTGGATCCCTCCGGGACTCCAAAATTCCGGTTTCCAAGTCAATCTCTTCGTATCTACAAGAGGGAAGGCACAAATACCAAACCACAAATCAGCTCCGGAAACAGTACATACTGGGCCACATTCTTCTGACAACCTCCTGCTGAGACCAGAGAGAGAGAGAGAGAGAGAATGTGCTCACTCAGTCTTCCCGCTTTGCAAATGCAGATTAGAGCAGCATTCCTGCCTTTTTAACGCAAAGAACACAGGCCTTCCCAGGGTCCCCCAAATCCACCCTAAGAAGCTGAATGCTGGAACCAGAACCGTCCTACTGGCCCAAGTCGTGGTCTTTTGGTTTCCCTTCAAATCTGGTGCCTGTACGTTAACAATTTTCACCTTGGGATCCTATGTCCTGCCTTTTCCCTCCAAACACTGACCCTGTATCTTCGCTTGTCTACCAAACACCTCAAATTCAAGGAGATCAAAGGCAAAGTTATAACTGCCTCTCCCCGCCCCCAATAAAGTCCCTCCTTTCCACTCTCTCCCAGTTGTGTCGTATCAATGTCATGGAGACATCTTTGACTTGGGTTTCTTCCTTTATCCAGTCAGCCAACTTTGTTAAGCTTTCCTTACAAACCTCGCTCACATCCTGCTCTAGTCCAGTTGAGGCTAAATCCCACTTCCGCTTATTGGCCCTTTCCTCCTTTGCCTTCTGTGTGATCTCTACACTGCGTAACCCTCCAACCCCCAATCACATCTGCCAGGACACCGCTCTGAACTGCTACCCTCCATTTCTCCAGCCGCACCTTCCCAGGCTTCTTGGAAGGTTCCTAGTCCTTCATCCAGCCCTTCCACGTAGGTGCACCTCAGGGCCATGTCTTAGGCCTCCAGGGAGAATCCTGGCCTACAACTTAAACATCCAACCATACGGGATGACTCCACATGTCCAGGTCCATCCCTCTCTCTGGCCTGCTCCCCCCTCCCCTGCCCCGCATGAAGCCACATGTTTACTAAACAGAATCTCCACTAGGGTGACCCAAAGGAACTTCAAACTCCATGTGTCTCAAAGTACGTTCAACATCTTCCCCACCTCCCCCAAGACTCAACCACTGTGCTGCCCTTCTGTGTTCCCTACCAACAGGGCAGGGCATCAGTATTCACTCAGGTACCCAAATATCAGGAACCAGAGGAATCATCCCTGATTCCCACCTCTCCTTATAACCCACATCCAGTCACCCAATCCTCTTTATTCTGGTTTCATAGGTTTTCATCCCACCTGCTTCTCTTATTTTCACCTGCACCCTGGTAAGCAAAACCATGATTGGTTGTTTGTGGCTGGATTACTAAAATCTCTCAACTTCACACTTTGCCCCTAGTCTGACTCGCCTTTCAGTGGCTTCTAACTACCCTTTCGATAAAGGATAAGCTATTTAAGTGGATTAAAAGACCACCCAATTCCCTCTCCAGTCCAACTGAGCGAAGGGCAGAGTGGGTTTTGTACCCCAGACTTTGTGGATTCAAATTGGGGGTTCTGGTCTTGCTAGCAGATGATCTTAAACAAGTCACTTAAACGCTCTGTGCCTCGATTTTCTCTTCTAAGGCTTTTGTAAAAATTAAATAACTCGCTCTATGTCAGGATCTTAGAACAGTCCCGGCTCACAACAAGCATACATGTAAGTGCCAAACATTATTCCTCATTCCCCACCTCCAATCCTACACTTCAACCAAACTTAACATATTTCTCCTCCTGCAGGCTTCACATTTGCTGTTTCCTGTCCAGAATACTCTGCCAAGTGCCCACCTAAATCCAATCTTTAAGTCCTGTTTTGGACAGTATTACCTCTGGGAACTTCTCACAATATGCCTTTAGAGCACAGATTCTACAGACGGATGGCCTGGGTTCAAATCAACACGTGGGTCACTTATAATCTTTGTAACCGTTGAACAGGTTACTTAATCGAAGGCTCAGTTTCCTCCTCTGCAAAATGGGGAAGATAACAGTACCTACTGCTGAGGATCAAGTGAGTTCAGTCCCCTGAAGCTCCCAGAACAGGATCTTAGGGTATAGTACTAGGCCAAAAATAAGCACTCCATAAATGCTAGCCATTATTATTATTATTATTATTATTATTATTATTATTATTAAGGTTGCTGTTATGCAGATGT